ATGATGTTTCTAGCCATTTCTGGCGAATAGCAACAATTGTTCAAATTAAAACTAAACTATTCTTAAGCACCAAAGAATACACTCCAATCTTGGTCACAGGCGACGATCTTCTGTTCCCCATGATTAGATTGATCCTTCCTTGCTCCACATCCCTACTTCTTTTAGTCCCTGCACATTAGAACAAATGTGATAACCACAACCGGTGTCAAGAACCCAAGAAATAGCATGATTAGAATCGTTAGATTTTATTGCATATATACCTGCGAAAGATGGCTTGATCTTTCCTTCCTTGATGGCTTGCAGGTAGTCCGGGCAGCTTCGCTTCCAATGTCCTATCTTGTGGCAGTGGTGGCACTCTGCCTCCTTCGGGTTAGAGCAGGGCTTAGAGGGATCAACTTTTGTCCCACTAGAAGAGGAACCATCTCGGGCTTTCACCTTTCGATAGTTATTTGAAGAAGCTTTCCTCTTCTTTCCCTTCCCTTGACCAATTGCCAAGACAGGAGCAGCAGACGGATTGGGAGTTGGTGCAACAGACTTGTCCTTGAAATTGCTCTCAGCAACCCTCAAGAGACCTTGGAGCTTACTTAGAGTGACCTCCTCTTTGTTCATGTGGTAGGTCATCCTAAATTGATTGTACATCGGAGGCAAAGAGTGAAGCACCATGTCGATCGCCAAGTCTTCGCCGAAGTCAACGTTTAACTTGCGAAGGCGGTCGACATACCTTTGCATCTTTTGCAAGTGCACGGTAAGAGATTCTCCATGACCCATCTTAGCGGAAATCATGTTGGTGAAGATCTCGTAACGCTCTTGTCTCGCGTTTTGGTGGTACCTCTCCAACAAGTCTTGATGCATCTCGTATGGATACATGTCCTCGTAGGACTTTTGGAACTCGGAGTTCATGGTGGCGATCATGATGCAATGTACTTTCGTCGCATCTCGCTCATGGGTTTCAAAGGCGGTGATTTCAGCGGGAGTAGCAATTTCGGGGTTGATTTTCTCGAGCTTCTCGTCGAGGACATACTCTTTATCCTCATAGCGAGCAATGGTGCGAATGTATCTTATCCATTCGCCAAAGTTCGTTCCATCGAAGGTGACCTTTTGGCAAAGGCTCATCAACGTGAAAGAACTAGCAGCAGCGTTGTTTGCGTTTGACATCTATAGAAAGGACAAAGATAGATTAGAACAAGAATCCCTAATTATCACCCAATAAGAAAAATTAGGGCTAGGATCCAACAATAACATTTACATACTAGAAAAGGGATGCCGTAATCCAACATGCAAATAAATTGAAGGTAAGTGAATGACGATTCACTAATTCTCCATCACAAAACTTAAACTTTTAGTCCTAAGTGTTTTTGAGAATTCCTAGGTTCGGATGAGATTCATTGAACTATTCAATGGCATGTTTAAATCTCGATATGCCCCTCTTGTTTGTGACTGGGATGCCGAGGATCACAAAGCGGGTGTGAATTACCATGCAAATTTACATGGTGCCTTCATTGTTACGATCACCTATTCGATGTGCCGGTAAACCACACACGCTCCATCGAACTATGATAAACAATGAATCACCCTTCGCCACCTTCGCTTAGAACCAATTAGTGTGCCGGTAAACCACACACGCTCCACTAACATCTTAGCAAGGTGCAAAGTGTAATTTCATGGAATTGCATCAATTCACTTTTCCTAAAGTAACTAAGATTGGGAAATTTAAAAAAATTTAGTTACTTCGTATTTCTTATTATACTTTTAATGAGAGGATGAGGTTGCCCTATCCTACCCGTTCGGCTAACGACCCTCCACCAATCAAGCAAGCGGTGGGTGTGAGTGTACACCCATTAAGCGCCATTTTATAGGCCGCAACCTTATACCCACCTTATAGATCGGCTTCGTGAATGAGGCCTACTAGCGGTAAGACTAGCATTTAGTTATACATATATATATTATTCTAATAACATCATATAAGTATAGGGTTGTATTTTAAACTTTTCAAAATCTAGGGTTTGAAATTTAAGTTAGAAGCTTTTAATCATAAATTTAAATTTCAAAACTATAGGGTAGGTTTTAAACATTTAAAAACATGGAGGATCAAATAACAAATAATTTCAATTAACAATTAATATCTTAATTATCTTTATTTGATTTATCTTTGATTTCTTTGAGGATAATTACCAAAAATAATTAAAACAATTAATTAATTATCATATAAAGAAACTAAATATTTAATTAGTTGATAATTACCTTTAACTAGATCAATATAACACTTATATTTATCAAAAAAACGGATTCATATTGATCTAATTAGTTTATGGTAAGTTTGGATAAGATAAACACAAAGAAATCCCGAATCTGGCCTTTCCTGACGCTTGGACTCGCCGAGTACACAAATGGACTCGCCGAGTCAGGCCTACTCGCCGAGTCCACTTTGGAACTCGACGAGTCAGTGACTCAAAAACCAAAAAATCGAATTTTGCAGGTTTGTTTCAGTTATACAAGCAACAATTTGTAGAAAACCAATCTAGGCTCTGATACCACTGTTGGGTTTTAGCCATAAGAACTTTCCTATGTGCGCATGCAAAACCCTATTGCTTGGATCTAGGCTTTCTATCAAACATGCTTTTGAATCCAAGACTTCTAATGGCTAATTAGGTTAAACAATAACATTAATACATATCTAGAATCATACCTTTGAGTTCCTTGTTGATCTTCTTGTCTTGGAGCTTCTAGAGTCACAATTGTCACTCCTCTGATGGTTCACAAACACCAATAGCAAGCAAGATGATTTAGGAGAGAGGAGAGGGGATGGAATTCGGCCAGAGGTTCCTTTCTTTAGGTTCTTAAAGCTTGTACACAAATTCCACACCCCAAGGGCCTATTTATACCTTTAGACTCCTTAAGGGTTTCACCCTAAACCCTAATTGGATAATCTTCACTTAAGGCTATCCAAATCCATTCCATAGATATCCTTATGGACTATTTTGAGCTATCCTAAAGCTCTTAGAAACCGTCCAAAGTCCATCCTAATGGATTTATAGTCTAAAGTCTAACTATCAAACAATTGACAGTTTATACCCTCTTATTTAATTAATCTCTTTAAGTCACCAAATTAATACCAATTAATTTATGACTTATATTAATCAAATAGCTAAATATTATTCCTTATAATATTTACTCTCTCTTAACAAATCATCCTTCAAGTTGCTATGGTGAAGGCAACCCAAAAGGACCATGCACCACCGAATATAGTTATAGCTTTAGACACTATTCCAACAGTAACTACATATTCATGGAATGTCACAGATTTCGCATGCCAAACCAATGGTCATAATTCACATCAGTGAGAATGATTCATTTTTTTTTGTAAAACCAAAATCAAATTGGAAATTTTGATTTTTTATTTTAGAAAATGTCAAACCATTGGTTTTTTTATTTCGGTTTTGGTTTTTTGTTTTTTTTTAAATATATTTTCAGGGTTTTGTTTTTGTTTTTGTTTTTGTTTTTTGTTTTTTGTTTTTGTTTTGTTTTTTTGTTTTGTTTTTTTTTTTTTTTTTTTTAATTTAATAGATTTCTTAATCAACAAATGTTGCTACAATTTAATAAAAATAAATAATTTGCTAAAACATAATACAAGATGAGGTTTGTTCACATTTATTCATTGAACTTTTTAGAGGGTAACAAACTTTCGACTTTTGTCACATTTAGTCATTAAACTTTTTTTCGTTATCTATTTGTCATTGAACTATTGAAACTGTTCACATTTTACCCTTATGACCGGCTGTTGCCGGTCATAAGGGTAAAATGTGAACAGTTTCAATAGTTCAATGACAAATAGATAACGAAAAAAAGTTTAATGACTAAATGTGACAAAAATCGAAAGTTCGTTACTCTTTCAAGTCATTATCTCAAGTTGAAAAAGAGTCCACTTTGTGAACAATGTTTTATTTTTTAATTTATGAAAAAAGAAAGTATTTTAGACAAAATATGTACCCACATGTTTTACTTTAAAATTTAAAAATATGGTATTTCGTTTGTAACTTACTAACCGTTTAAAATTTAAATCAGATAAATCAAGAAAAAAAAATGAAGAATATCGTTGCATTAGTTGATAATAAATGAAAGATTGTTAAAATAAATTGGTACATGCTATAAAGTATTACTGAATAACACTTAACTCATATCAAGTCATGAAGTAATTGGCTATGGTTTACAATTTTACATATCTTGATTCTCAAATAAAATATGATTATATATTTCATTTTAAAATTCTTTATCGCATAATTTTAAATAAAAAAATATTATTACATAAGTATAAACCCAATCACTGAAACAACATACTTTTAACATACCACGATAACTCTTCATATCTTTTATCAGTTTAAGTTTATACATTACTTTATTGCAATTTATAGCTTTTAAGTCAAAGAATCACTTGAAGACATATTTGATAAACTAGAAAGAAAAAGAAGAAGAAGAAATATTCAATGTTGATCACAATATTCTACATTTTTTGAAGATTCAACAGTAAAGACGAATCAATATACAACATTAATGACTGAATATTAAATATTCTACATGTTTTCAAGATTGAACAACAAAAAATCTAAGAATTTATAATATTCCACTTTACAAGTTATGTTTGTAGTTTGTAAATACCCCTAAAAAAAGATTCCAGTTTATAATACTCCATAAAAAACCAAGAATTTATAATCTTTCATCTACAAAAACCATAAATGCCCTAATCCACATCACGTCATTATCGAAAGACGAAAATACCCCTCAAAGGATTCTCTAGTCCTGTCATGTAACACAAACACAACTATAGAAAACTACACATGAAAAAACACATGATTTTCAAATCAAGTTATTCAATTATCAATCTCCTGAAGATCAACACTAATGCAAATTAATCTAAATGTCTTCAAATGGATTACATATAAAGGAAAAAACTATCAGCTAAAATAGATTACTATCATTCTGCATGATCAACAATTTTAATATCATCACTTCTCTAACTCCCCAATGTAGAAGTCCTCAATCATATCAAATACTCGGGTTGCATGTTGTGGCCTGAATAAAATTTCATAAAAATAGTCTCAATCTGGGTTGCATAATATATCCAATTGCTCACATCAAATGACTATTTTTGGAAAGAAAATCAAGAACTCCTTATATCTAAATGGGCCCTATGCAGATTAATTCAAATAGCTGTTTTCTCAAATTCATAGAAATTTACCCAAAAAATCCTTCAGTTGAGTCATCACCAGCATGAGCCAAAATTGCATCACCACCAGGATGTTCCTCCACATAAGGGGTAACATCATATACCTATGGTAGATCAAGAATCATATATATGAGGAAAAAAGATTGAGGTTCTATATAAACTTTTTTAGGTTTCCCCTAATTTCATAGTGATGGAATGAAGTATTATTATAGGTTATATAACCTAACAGAACCTTCTCTTTGATGATGATCCAGCAATCTGTCCTTTTGTTATGCAAGGAAACCGCAGCCTTGTTGTATGATTTTAAAGTCTGCAATTAAAAAGTGTACAACATTATAATACTATTCATTAGGTACTTGTTTGTTTTGGAAATACAAATCTAGTGTTCTTTGAAATCCATAGCATCAATTTTGTCTGTATAACAAATACATGGTTGTTTCAAACATCAGAATTCTTATATGTTAAGGATAGTACCTTGATGTTAGTATCTGATTGAACTTTCTTGGTTTGATCTGCATTACAAAAATACCCGAAGATTAGAAATACATACAAATTTTGTGCATATTATTGAAAACTTCCGATTCGCTGGATTACACGAAAGAAATGTAAGATGAAATGAAAAGATTTACCGGATTTGATGAATCGAGGGGCTAGAAACAACAAACTCAACAGGAAGCCAATAATCAAAGTAACTACCATTAGCTCCATAGCTCCTCTACTTTGAGCCCTGGCTGCAGTAATGTAGTGTGTGTATGTGTATGTGTGTGTGTGAAGTAGAGAGAAATTGGGTGAATTGATGAAGAGATAGACTCGAGAGGGATCTACAAATGTTTCTAGATTCGCTCCCTAATTTCCCCAATTCAAAATCGTTGCAGCCAGGCGTTTTTATCGACTTCTGACTTGTTGACATTTTCGGTCCATCTACTAATCTATTTTTGACGTTTTTTGTTTTCTTATTTTTGTATTTAAAAATTTAGTCGGATTTGATTGGGTCAAAATCTAACTGAGATCGTTTGATAGTTGATAACTAGGTTATAATTGACTGGGTTAGAAACTGAATGGATTACAGGTTTTAACCGGGCCATAAAGGAAAACAACGGGGATTGAACCAGAAAAAAATGGGGACTTTTACAAAATATTGACTTGGGACTAAGGACCGGGTCCTAGCTTCGGACCCAGTTAGAAGACAAATCAAACAACAACTATTATCTGAATATGACCGAGTAAGAGGCATTTAAGAGGTGTCATGGCTGATTCAAATGTTTTTATAAATGTGGTATCAATTTGTTTCTTAAGCAAGTGATTGATCAAAATGATTTTTGATTTGTTGTCATTTGTCTTACCCTTCTCAAAAGTTAGATTTGAGATATATCATAACTAGTGGAATGCTTATCATTGTTCTATGTTGGTTGATATTTTTTTTTATATATTACTGTAAACATTTCGTAAGTTGTCTAAAATATATTTGATGGTCAGAACTTTTAAAATCGTTTTCTATAAAGTTTTACATTATTATTTGAAAATTTATGCCATAAAGAAATAAAAATTATCTCTTTGAAGTTCTATTCCCATATTTTTCCATCAAAATAACCCGATGTTGGTTACAATTACTACATCCAAAATCCACACAACCTTGCAAATGAAAAATGCAAGTGAGGCTTTATCCAAAACCAAATATAGTAGCACAAAGCTTTATGTCGAGAGCTTGTGAATACATAAGGTGAAACACAATAATTTATAGATAAGGTAACACAACGGCTTCTTTGATTTTGACAAAGCTTATTTAGCCAAAAAATAAATATTATCATTAGGTTATTATTGTGGGCGTTATTATTTGCTACAAAAAGTTTAGTATGATCTTAAGAAAAAGGTAAATAACAAAAGAATAAGACTAGTTTGGTCGAAATTTGGTTTAAGCACGTTTTAAAAAAAATATTATTTACATTTACAAAATAAAATAAATAAACAAAAAATACAATGTGTTTATCATGATGGCACATGTCATTTTTTTTCCACTAAAGCCTTTTAACTTAACAATTTTTTCTGTTTTAATCACTAGAATAAATTTTTGTATTTTTTTATTTATTTTGTTTTGTTTTATTTTATTTTTTTGTTAAAAGGCAGGTTTTTTCTTTAAACATTTGCATTTTTAAGAATGGTTTATTTGTTTTCACAAGGGTTAATGACTTAGGAGGGTAATAAGATTTTAATTTTGTTTATATTAGGTTCTCAATGAGTTTTTTTTTTTTATTTTTTTTATTTTTTTTTTATATATAATTTATTTATTTAAATTTTTACATATTATACTACTATGGTTGTTATAACCGTTTAAAAAAGGTAATAAAGTTTTTATTTTGTCCACAATAGATCCCTAACGTCTTTTGTTATACAAATTTTACCACCATGGTTGTTATAATCGTTTAAAGAAGAATAATAAGGTTTAACAATGTCCATATTAGGTCCTTATTTTTAATATGTTTATCATTTCATCTAACTCTTTTAGATTTTATATTAGTATCTAGTTAGATGACTTCATCATTTCATCTTCTCATTTTAGTCGCCTATTCACCACAACCACGATTTCAGTCAAAATGTTACGTAATCCAATGGTGGAGCCATATCAAAGTAAAAGAGTATCCCCGAAAAGTAATGAAATATCCTCGATAAGTAATGGCTACGCCAATTGGGTATCCTGATAGGCAATTACTTATCAGGGATACCTCATTACTTGTCGGAGATACTCTTTTATTTTGATTCCAGCTCTGCCACTGACTTATAAATTATCCGAAATTTATATAATAACATAAAATGACATTTAATAAAATACGTTTTCTTAATTAATTAGGAGGTGTATTTGAAAATTTAAACCCTCGCTCTTCAAACCAACGAGATAGGAGACCCAAGTAAGATCTACACAAGTGTGCTTTCTCTTACCCATCAAAAAACCAAAATATCAGACGGTTTGAGTGTGGATCTTCTATTCATGGTGTCCCGTCAAAAAGTTCCCAGACGCTACTTTCTTCACGGAAATACTAACATGCTAACAAACATTAAATAAAACATCCATAATCATATCATGTCGGTATATATGAAACCATGAAGCTCTCTACAATGAACCGCTAGTTCTTTCTATTTAATTTTTTTAATCAATTCATATAATACATAAATTCATAACCTAATTACAAAATAATATAACTAAATACAATAATACTGTTCGAAGTAATTCGGTTATTCTAAATATCAAAAATATAATCAAAAGTCAAAACCATGCAAAATGAAATATAATTATTTTGATGTTTTATTTTTTTGATTCTTTTGCTTCCGGAACAAGAAATTCTTTTCTATTAATGTTTATTTTCAGGGACCATTTATACCAATATAACAATATACTGGGGCTATCGTCGGCCATTGCAAGAAAGTAGAAACACTTCCACTTTCAAATTAAAACCCCAGTAAACCCTAATTTCTCTCTCTAGATCATCGACTAGAATGGCTACTCCCGAAACCTCCCGAGAACCCTGCCCAGATCGCATCCTTGATGACATCGGTAGCGCCTTCGGCATGGGAGCCGTTGGAGGTTCGGCCTTCCATTTCCTGAAAGGCGTCTACAACTCACCGAGAGGGGAGCGTTTCATCGGCGGTGCACAAGCACTCCGTATGAACGCACCACGTGTTGGCGGAAGCTTCGCCGTATGGGGCGGTCTGTTCTCAACCTTCGATTGCACCATGGTGTACGTTCGCCAGAAGGAGGATCCATGGAACTCGATCATCGCCGGCGCCGCCACAGGAGGATTTCTTCAGATGCGCCAGGGTTTCCGCCCCGCCGCTCGATCTGCTATTTTTGGTGGCGTTCTGTTAGCCATGATTGAAGGGGCTGGGATCATGCTTAATAAGTTTATGAGCGCTCAACAGCAGATGCCTGTGATGATCGAAGAGGCGCCACAATCAGCTCCAAATATGACTCCAGGATTTAATTTGCCTAATCAAGACTCGCAACCTGAGATAACACCTTCATCTTGGTTTGGTGGCCTGTTTGGTGGCAAACAAGAGGAAGAGATTCCGAAGGTGAAGACTGAAGTTCTGGAGAGTTTTGACTCTCCATTGCCACCGACTTTTGAGTTCAAGTAAATGTGATTTTGCTCGAATGAGGTGATATTTTTCCGAATTAGTTAATCAAATTTCATGTTCTAATTAACAAGGGCTTGGTTTCTTAACCCGTTTATTCTTCTTTGATTCTTATACATTATACTAATAGTAGTAGTATTTTTGTTGAAATAAGTTGTGATTACATTCATCTTCATGACAGCCTCGGCTGATTTACTCCGTTCTTGAGTTTGGAAACGGTATGTGTATATGCCATGATTCTTTATCAGATACCATTGTTATTAATCATGTAAATGTTAGTAATCCTTCCTGGTTTCTTGTTAAATATCCTCACATTGCCTATGGATTAATAATTAGTAAGCAGAATAATTGGATAGTGCTCATAGCTATGATGAATCTGTTATGATACTGGTGCAAAAGAAATATGTATGTCTGATGAATCCTGCTCATATGGGTTTGATGAGAAAGATTTGGGGATGGATTTGGAAGTAGTTAAAAAGAACCCAAGGTAAGCTCACAAATTCGTGCAAGTGGAATTCTGAATGAATAACATGAGACATTTGGTTTGCAAAATATTTTTAGAATGAAATCTGGTAAAAGACTTGAAATTGGATAAACGACTTAATGAGAAATCAAATATTCTCCTACCATCTTCCTACTCAATTAAGATTGTGACATTTCCTATTACACTTGTCATAGGAAATGAAGATAGGTAGGAAGAATAAGTAGGAGGATAATATTTAATTCCTATTTCATAAATGGCATGCTTGGTTACAAATGGACTTAATTGATTCAGTTATATTCCATCAAACTCCATGCTTAAATGTATGGGAAATTGACACTTAAGCACACTTAAGTTTGGGGTTTGTCCCGGATTGGTAATCGAAGTTTTTTTTTTTTTTTTTTTTTTTTTTTGGCACAATTGGACACTAAAGTCACGTTTAACATGTTAAATTAGTCATTTTGCTCAATTTCCACTGGTTACTAGGTCAAAATGCCTACGTGGCAGGTTATTCCTAATAAATTAAATAAATACAAAAACCAAAAAGAAAAAAGAAAAAAAAGAATAGAAAACAAATTATAGACTTCAATGTTCTTCGTTCCTTCATTCCACCAACGAGACACATACCACAAATAGCAATCCACCTCCCAAAACCACCACAAATGGCACCATTGTCTCTCTCCCTCCCCAATCCACCCACCTATATTTTCTATTTATCTCTCCGGCAACATATCCATTTTATAAACCTCTGATTCCATTTTTTTCTAGCTTCAACCAATATGTGGTTATTGATTGAAGGATTCAAGATTTGGGTGCAAATTAGATCCAACTGTATGTTCGATTCACTAAAGAACAGAGTGTAATTTCTTGATTGGATCTTAATACCCACAAAATCCACCTCCATCTCCATCTCCATCTCCACCCCTGCCATTGTCACCACCACCGGGATCTTCACAGCCTCCACCACCTCTAACAAAGGCACCGCATCCTCCAAGTTCAAGCCACGCTACGTGATCAAAACAAAAACACAGAAAACACCCTCTGTTGTCAAAAAATTCTACTTTGGAAAGTAACTTGGATTCATATTCAAGGGTTTAGCTAT